CATCTCATCGGTCTCGCCGCCAGGACTGTGATCCTGGCGCTCACGAAACCGATGAGCAGCCTGCCGGCGTCGGCCAATACTTTGGCCGACGCTACGGGACAGCTGACCCACACGGCGCCAAGCCCTCCTGGACCGGGGCGGATGGTGCCGACCCTGACGTTGTCCGCGCTGCACCCCGTCTTCTCCCGGATTACAGCGCGGACATCTTCGGCCGTCACTGAGTCGTCCAGGCCCGAGATGCGCAGTTCCGCGCACTTGGTAGGCCTGGCGACCCTGACACCATCTGTGGCTGCAAATATTCCCCGCAGCTTCTCAGCGAAGGAGTCCGCCGTCTTTGCGCCTTCAGCCCCAGGGAACTCGAGAACTCGAGCTCCCGTCTGGGCGAGGCGCATCCTGACCCCCACCGTTCCGAAGTCGTTGGCGAGGCTGTCCCGGGCCTTTTTGAAGACGGCCGCGTAGGACAGCCCGCCGTCCGCCGCCTCCGGGGACACGGTCACCACTACAGCCGCGGTTTTGGGCGGCTGCAGCTTCCGCGGCCTCTTTGTGGAGGCCGTTGCCACCGGTGGCGAAGGCTGGGCCTGGGCTGCTTTTTTGGCAGCCTTTTTGGCCCGCCTTCGGGACTTCTTGGAGCCCCTCGCCTCCTGCCAACCCTCGTTGGAGGGGGCAGGTGCGGAGGGGCCCGGCAGGGGTGTCGGAGTGGGGAGCGGAGGGAATGCCACTCCGCTCCTCGGCGCCGTTTTAGGCCCCGTCTTGGCCGGCGCCTGGGGATGTGCCTTGGCCGGCGCCTTAGCCGGTGCCTTGGCCGGCGCCTGGGCCGGTGCCTTGGCCCCCCTCCTCGGCTTTTGGGGAGCCGATGGAGTCGGGGCAGACGCCGCCGCCGCGTAGGAGACGCGGCCTCCCACTACGGGGAGCGCGGTCGGAGCGGCGGCCTTAGGCCGCTGTGTCGACGCGAGCGGGGGGCGCACAACCGGCGCAGGGGGCAGTCTCGCCTCCAGGCCAGCCAGGCGTCCGTCCAGCATATTCCCAACTGCGATGAGGATTTCTCGCAGTTGGGAGTCAAATGCCCCTGAGTTGGTAGTAGGGGCAGGCTGGGACGCGGACGGGGCTTCCCGCTCGGGGAGGTTCGCCTGGAAGCGGGCGAACTGAGCGCTCAGCTCGTTCACCCGCTCCGTCAGCTTCTTGTTGGCCACCTGCAGGCGAGAGACGTCGCCCGCTAGGCCCTCCACGACCTCCGACAAAGCGGAGGAGGAGTCCTTAAGGGCCCTCACAAACGAGCCCTTAAGGTTCACGGATTTGGTGGCCACCTTGTCGATGACGGCCACCGCCGCTTTCGCCCTCTCCTGCACGGACACGGGAGCCTGGGGGGCATTTCCCCCCACCGGCTCCCGAACCTTGAGCAGGAGATCCGCGATCTCCTCCTCCGCTACGGCCTCGCCGTCCACTCGCACGCTCCTGTAGGACTCCGCGTTTGAGAACGCGGAGCCTGACGGGGTCGAGACCGAGGCCGGTTTACGCGCCCTCCCTCGGCGACTGCTTGCCACCTTTGGTGGCATCATTTCGCCGGACGTGTCGGTTTCCACGTCCCCTGAGCGTCCGCGTTTTCGGCTGTCGCTTCGCTCCGCCTCCATGGCCTCCGCGCCATCCGAGGAGACGGCGGATCCGGAACGAATACGATCCGATGCTCTTCGGCTCCCAGAGACCAGCGTCAGACTGACTTCTGGGAGCCCCATCGAGATAGGCGTTCCCGACGCTATCTCACCCTCCGTGGATGACCCATCCACTCCACTGTTCCTCTTCTCCTTCGTATCAGAGTCCGTTTTGCTTGCCTGTTTCTGTTTGGTTTGTATTGGTTGCCGTTTCTTTATATTTTTGTTGTTATGATCCATAATAAATCCCACGATTGGGGGAGAACTAAAGGTCCACCCGGGCAGAGATCCCCCATTACCCGGGCAAGCGTAAGTTTTTAACCCAACCGAGGGGTCCGCAGGTACCTCGGCTTGGAGTGCGCTCGCGACTGAACTTCCCATCAGCCATGCATCCCCTGGCCACGCACCAGAACACGGGATTCGGGGAATTTTTTAGAGAGGTTATCTTCCTCGCGGTCCGGGCGGTTAAGCCAAGACCCTCGCCCCCGATCAGAGCCGCGAGACTTAACCACAGCGCTCTTCTCGGGATTACGATATGCCGACGGTTGACAGGGAGACTACGTCCCCCTGCCTGCTCGGTGGTAGTGTGAGTACACGCCGAGCCCGTCCTCCTTTCTCCACCGCTGTCAGCGGAGAAACTGTGGCCCCTACAGGGCCCCGCCATCAGGTTTTTTACCGAGGTTTCCTCCTCCATGCTCCGAAGAGCGAAGAGCCAGCAGGGCAACCGGCAGACACGCCCACCCTGCTGGACCAGGCCTTGCCCGAGAGCCGATGAACGGCTGCCTCTTCTGCTAGAATATTGGCCGCTGGCGATAATCCTCTCCTCCAAGAGGACAAGGAGGAAACAGTACCATCGCCAGCGTTTCCAGGGTGCACCACGAGGAGGTTTTCTAGCCCAGCACCCCAACCCTATATCAACCCGTCTGACCAGCGTGGTGTAGTAGACCAAAATCTCCTTTCCAATGAGACGCCTATGTCCAGCAGTGGACTGTTATAGGCTGTTGATGATGATGGACCATTTGCCTAAATAATATGCAGAACTAGAACTGGCTAATTGGCTTCAATACCATTGTAACCTAAAACCTTGTCGAAATGATTGATAGTATTGTTGAAATCGAGAAATTAATTCTTGATATATTCTGTTCTAGATAATATTACTTTCCTGTTACCCATATTTGATAATTCTGAGTGAAAAACGCGTTTTATTATAAAAAGGGGTTTTTAGTGTTTTTTAATTATTACAGTTTATGTTATTCTTTCTTTGTAATAAAAATACTACTGAAACATAGTTTAAATGCTGCTAACACATAACAATGGTAGATTGTTATAGAAACAGAGTGCCTACAGTTAAAACAGAATGCATATAAAATATCATTAATTTTAGTCATAGTAAAAATAATTCATGGAAACATGATTTATAATTCAAGAATAATAATATTATGCATTGTAGGAATGAAGATGAAGTCAATTTAATTATGTATTACAACAAATTTGTAGTAAAACTGAAATTATATATTCTTGGTGGGGAAAATCTCAATGCAGATTAGGTCTGAGGTTGGTTTGAGTGTCACAACACAGTTCACATAATTTTTATTCTCATAAGAAACATTCTGTTCTTATTTCTTCTTCCGTTGATATTGTATTGTATTATTAAAGTGGTTTTAGGGGAAACTAAAGAGTAAGTTTTTTAAATTCTAAAATTTTTAATAATCCATTAACTGTCTTTTAACATCTCTCAGACAGCTACAAAAGGACTGATGTTTCTCCTAAACCTCATGACAGAAATATACTGATGTCTCCGAATTATTAAAGTCACATCTCAGTGGGAGCCAATTTCAAACTAAGGAAACAAACTTCAGTTGCATGAAAACTCTTCCTACTCTGCTAAAGGACTTAGAAATTTGAATGATATGTAGGAGCTGCCCCATACATAACTCGGTTATAATAGCTGTTTTATCCATTCAAGCCTCACGCAGATACTGTACATCAGACTTCCTGCAATCCAATGCCACAATAATTGTTGCCGTTTTGGATACGTAAAGTCTTTGTTTCAACCAACGCCAACCAACACATACCGAAATTTCATGTGACGTAATGTGATCTCGCCGCATAATCCGTTTGTAGGTTTTGAACATTTGCTATTAGTTGGTAAGTTTCCGCACCACCGCTATGGGATCTCTAAAACTATTGTCACTGTATACATAAGATCAAATAAGATGTAAAGGAGTAGAAGGAGAATTGATACGGTCACTAGGATACATGCATGCACCAACCCTAGCTACAAAGGAGTGTGCCAACTGATAAGCAAGGTAGGAGAACCAAGCTGGAGACGATTTCTACCTTTCGGTTAAAAAGAGCAAGGATGGCTTTTCTGTCTCGACTTGGTGGTGGTCAGAAATCTTTTTTAGTGGCAGTAAATAATACTTCTTTAAACCGACCAGAATAATAATACTTAGAATGACGTTTGTGTAACCAAAGGTAATATGAACATAGTAGTTGTAGCCTGAGTAAAGTTTACTGAGTTTAAGTACGTTTAGTGCCACGAGAAATCTACACTAATATTATAAAGCTGAAGAGTTTGTTTGTTTGTTTGAACGGGCTAATCTCAGGAACTACTGGTCCGATTTGAAAAATTCTTTCAGTGTTAGATAGCCCATTTATCGAGGAAGGCTATAGGCTATATATCACCACGCTAAGACCAATAGGAGCGGAGCACCAATGAAGAATGTTTCAAAAACGGAGAAAATTTAAGCTGTGTTTGCAGCTTGTACTAGAAAAGCTACAAACAAAACTACTTTAAATTAACTTATTTAGACAGGATCAATTTGGTTTTCTTTTAATTACATCGTCAGTTACTATGTCAGAGGACCTTGACCGACCATCTTTGTGTGTTTTTTATCTTTCAATAAAAATATTAATTTCTTTTGATAGGTACTTTGATTGTAACTCCTGTTTTCCTGACTTGTCAGTTTCTGATCATTTCAACTGCATTTGAAGCATTGCTTCGAGTGCTTAACATGAAATTACGAATAATAATCTAACCTAAATAAAAGTCAAAGCCCTTCCAAGCAGCACCAGGTAACGCGACATAAAGGATTTATGTAAAGTAAAATTTACTCTGTGGGTATACCAAGATAACACCAGTCTTACTTAAAACAGTTAATAAAATGGGAGTATTATAACTTTCTGTAATATCACATAAATGTCCTAGATACTGATTACAACACTTAGAAATTTATAATTTAAATAAAATGTCTAACGGCATTTGTATTTCCAACAACTTCTAACTTTAATGTTCATATCCAATCATTCACTCCTAAACCTTAATTTTACATAAGATTATAAATTAAATTGTTAGCCGGCATATTGGCGTACAATTTTAGCCCACTGTTGAGGAAAGTTTCGTTGGACGTACGATAGAGTTCGCTGTATTTGCTTCGTTTCTTGTGGTGTGCATTGGGGACAAGCACCGCGCAGAACTAAAGGAGCAAGAGCTGAAAGAACATAAGAATCAGTTAATACTAAATTAATAATGTTACCGACTTATTTGAGAGATTACTTGGAGGAACGTTTGTGAGTCTACTTTTGCTAACATTTTAATAATAAAGATGGCGAATAGTAGTTTTTACATTTTTTTTAAATTAATAAATATATTAAGAGTATAACTAGGGGTATGCGCGACTTAAATAACTCTACAGCATATCTTGGTGGTAAAATTCATGAGCTAACTGACATTGAGACAGCTCGATTAGTCCAGTTTAGTTATTTTACAATATATATCGTATTGATGAAAACTTGGTTTATGTTCATGCCAATAAAGTTCAGTACCTACTTTAAAAAAGTGATAATATACACCCTTTTAATACATGTTTATAACAAACATAAACTTGTTTGTACTTGGCTTTTTGACTAAAAAAAAATGAAAAAGTCTGCCCGAGTTCATTTTACCGATGCGATTTAAGAATAACAAACTAAAATCAAATACAAATTTAGGTCTTCAATAAAACGATAACAGGGCCTGAAGGGCTAGTTCGCGCTCAATAGTGAATTTTACAGAAGATAAAAACGCCGTACGTACTTTTTTATGTCTTAGTGGACCAACCACCAGATGGGTCTTTTAGTACGTGATAGCTTGCTACATTATACTACATTATACTGCGCTCGGTTGCCCAAGTCGTTCCTTCCACTTCCACTCAATTTCTCGAGTCTCGGGACTCCGGCCCAACACCCGCGCCTCCTTGCGCCACTGATACAGAGCCGCAAGGGCTCTCGCCTCCAGGTCCCACGGTGGCGTTCCGGCCAGGAGACTCGCCACCTCCAAGGAGATCGTGCGGTACCCCATTATGATCCTGATGGCCAGCACTCGCTGCGGTCGTCGCAGTAGTGCGACGTTGCTGGGGCCCCATAAAGGGCCTTGGACCGCACAACCCCCGAGTAGAGTCTCCTGCAGGAGTCATCGGGTCCCTTCATATTCGGCAGCAGCCGCGCCAATGCACGCGCTGCCCCAACCAATTTGGGGACCAGACCTCGGAAATGCTAATGATCACCTGCATTCGAGAGTCATAAGTGCGTTGCCAGCTTTTGAGATGAGGTGGAAAACGCTCTTTTCTTGAAGGTTTAAGGGACATGTACTTCAGAAAAATATATGAGTAGTGTGTAATGAATTGAGTTTACTTAACTTACTCTGAACCATCGCATTATACCAACACCGCATCATACCGAAACCACAATTTTTGGTCCGTTGCACATGTTTTAACAAATTTAATTTATATACTCATGGGCTCGTGGCTAAGTGGTAACCGAGTAGGTTAACATATTGCAAAGCTAAGCAATCCTAGCCAGGTCAGTCTTCAGATGGGTGGTGGTTCGGAAAGCACGTAAAGCTGTCGGTCCCGGTTGCCATACAAACATCGGTGGCAATCGTTACGGGTAGTTGGAGTCCTAAAAAGTCGGACAACAGTATTTCTACAGCACTTCGATATCCCCTAATATTTGGGTTATGGAGTTCTGATGGCAGTCGCTCCGCATAAAAAATCTAAGTTCAGCCGTATCGTAATAGCCTTAAAGCCTACGGAAAAAAATGGCCCTCTGACACAAAATGATTTACTATAAATGAACTAACTTTTTAATCGCTTGCCGATAGGGTCGCAGGGGGCTTCTCCAAGAGCGCACTTGAGTTGTCTCTGTATAAAACGCTTGTCGTTGAGAGCGTCTTCTAGGGCAGTGTCGGAGACCTGCGGCCGCTGAGTCTGCGCCACGGTGACGACCACTAAGCAGCACAGCACTAAAGCGTTTGTAATCTGAAATGTTTACATTGCATCATTTAAGTACTTCAAATTATCATAACGCATAAGACAATGATGAACATAAATTAGCTTGTCTTTCATGTCATTTTTATTAATGCCAATTAACAAAACAGGGCAAAATAGGCTACAGTGATAACACAGGCCCAAAATAATTTACAAAGTTTCTTACCCAGAAACCCGAGTGTACTTTCCGGAAGGATTTTGGTGTGCTGAATCCAAAAGACACAGAATTGTTCTGTCACGTCAGGTTTTTGTCATATTCTAACCTAAAAGGGAAAACAAAAACCAATTTTTGTCCATTTTTGAGGTGATGTAACCCTTCAAATTTTATTATGCCTAAAAAAATACACAGTATCTTGAAGATCAAGTCTTTAGCTTTCAAATGACGTTGAGTTTGCTCAAATATCACTTTTTTCGCCTCCAAACCAATCAAATATTGCTCACCCCGAGTTTAGGTAAGTAAACTTTTAACTGAAGTACTGAACTTTTAACAGGGTTTGCTTAGTAACTAAACTAAGCAAACCCTGTTCCCTACTATCTCAGCGAAGATATTTAAGCAAACCCAAGATCATTTGAAAGCTGTCTACTTTTTAAGACACTATATAGGTAATTTGAAGGGTCACATAACCTAAAAAATGGCCAATAAAGGCGTTTTTTGCACTTCTAGGTTAGAATATCTTGAAAACCTGACTTGATAGAGCAATTCTGCGGCCGGATTTGAATTCAGCGCACCAAAATCCTTCTGGAATGTATACTCTGGTTTCCAGGTAATTTTTTTGTTGACCTGTGTAATCTGACATCCTTTTATTCTCACATATTTAATACATATTGTATCTATCGTTTAAGAGACTGATAAGAAATAGTGACAGGAAAACTTTTAAGTTCTATGTACAATATTGATACGTCAAATCATTGGGACAGAATAAGGTAAGGATTACTCAGTCAATGAGTGTGAAGTTTTGTTTAATATTAGTAAACCATTATTACGAGCAACAAACGATGATTGCACAACGATCGTGATAGCCGTAAGGACATACTATTGGACAAGTGGTGATTTGCAAGACAAGTGTGGTTACCACTATAGGTACAGTTCTGAACAAAAGTCGAAAGTGTTTAAGCGACAATGTGATCGACATTATCAATGGAACCAATCGAATCCAGAGAAATGTATAACGCAATGCAAGCTGTATAGAAAAAGTAGGTAAAAAAATTGTCGCTATGGTTTACTTTTCACATTTGAACACCACCTATTTCAAATCTCAAAACTAAACGCAACTAAATTTAAGTCAACAAAAAGGCAAGTGTAGGTCTAATTGTATTGTTCTAACCTTGTTAAGAGATTTCAAAGTAGGTACCTATTACCTACTTAAATCGATTAAATATAACCAAAATAAGTTGCCTGAATTATTATTTACTCATGGAATATTTTGTTGTCATCTTTTGACATTCGTCTATGAAAGTCACTGCAAATTGCTCCACAAGATTGTTTGGTATTTAGAAAACTTTATAAAAACTAGAAACCGCTACAAATTTTAGGTATCGAGCTATCGAAAATAGTTGCATCGAGGCTAACACTCCACCAGCATATAAGTCAGCTACTATCAACTAACGCAAATACTACTTAAATGTAAGTAAGTAATAGGAAATAAATAAATTTTATTAAATATTATCAATAATATCCGAAAACTTTATGGACTTGTCTGTATCAAAAATTATTGGAGTGGTACAAAGAGTCGCGATGGACGCGAGTGCGTGCTTTGAAATTTAATGAGTGTGTAATCAAAGTGATCGATTCTTCGCCAATACGAATAAATATGTATTGTGTGCCTCTAACACGAAATAATAACGAAGAGTTAGAAGTTTATTTTTCTACACTGTGTGCTGCTATTATGGGTTCTATACAATATTACTACCGACTTGATGAATACTCCAACAAGTAGGACGTGAATAGAGATCAGCCTATAGAAGTCAAAAATATTATCGTTTTCCTACAACTCAGTTTATAGAGAGAGTCATCCATTTACATTTACTACAGGTACAACAGAATGCAACTTCAAAATAGTGTTCTAAGATATTAAATGTTTCGTCACATTTTTGGGAAGTCGTTTGGAACGAACTCAGTCCCTTTATTTTATAGAAAAATAAAATGGTCTGAAATCGTTGCTTCTTTTATGTAGACTCTAAAGTCATAGATCAACACACACAATAGCAACAATCTCTGTTTTGTCAAAAAGTAAGCAACATAATATAAAAATTAAAGATAAAAATTAAACTTATACCAAATCTATGATATGCTTGTGCCGATCCACAACCACCCGTTACCAAGAGGTAGAGCCTTATGAGAAGGAAGGGCAAACAAACTCATAGCCACTTATTTGCAATTTACAGATAAATACAATGACATCATTAAATATACCACAGCATTGTGTTGATGTGTGTATGTCCATTATTAAGGACTAAAAGGTAAAAACACAATGAAGAGAAACAAGATTAAGAAAAAAAATCGAATAAAAGAGAAAATGAAGTAAAACATAAAAAAGATTTTTTTTTAGAAAATAATGATAATAAAAAACCCACCACATTTTACTTAAGAGATAGCCAGCGCTAATTAAGCCCAAGCATTTTTGTCTTCTAGGTATGTAATCCGCAATTGAGAAATAGGCTTTCTGACATAATTGACGTTTTATTGCGGATTTGAATTTGTTAATACTTAAGTCTTGAATATTATTTGGGATTTTATTACAAAATCGGACACATTCACCTCGAAAAGACTTGTTTATCTTTTGGAGCCTAGAGGCGGGTACTACAAGTTTATTTCTAATTCTGGTATTTATAGAATGTACATCACTTCTTTTCAAAAAGCTATCTTTGTTTTATGAACATATATTACATTTTCATGTATACTGCTGAGCAGAGTCTACTTAATAAGTTAATAGAGCTTAGAATCTAGTGTTATACCTAAAAATATCGTAGTGTCCACAAGGTCTAACCCGACATCCTTAATCATTACAGTAGTTTTCACTGGCTTGAAGTTTGGCATAGTGAAACGTATACCCTTAGTTTTTATTCCTTTAAAAGTTCTACTGTTGAGCGTTTTAGAATAGTTTTATATCGTGTATTATTGTAATTTAATTACAGGTATAATTTAATTTAAGTTACACTGTTGGGCATTTTTTTCTATTTTCGGTAGATTTCATTGTTACTTTTACGACTACTTATTAGTTACGCGTGTTACACATTACTAAATATTAATAAAAAATACAAGTCCTGCCATAGGATACATATTGTGTGTCGCGATACACTACAAACATTCATGAAACGGACACTCCGAATACCCAGACTCAGAACAACAATTTGTGAATCACATAAAGTGTTGTCCCATGTGCGGATCGAACCCACAACACTCAGTGCGGTGGTGACCGCTTAAACCATTACGCCATCCGTGCAGTCGTGCATTATGCATTAGTTGGCAAAATTAATACCTTATCTAAAATCTTCTGCAAAGCCAAGGTTACAAATTAGATGCAGAGAGTCCACTTTATCGTGATTGTTACTGTAGAAATATATCCACCAGCCATTAATAATGCATGAAGGTACTTTAGATAACACATTAATCGCTGATTATTAACATTTTGGACATAAAACTACAACGTACATATTGTATAAGTATTAACAAGACATGTCTGGGTGTTTTGATATATACAAGTGGTACTACATTAGCACCACGGAATCTAAGTTATATTCGGTTCAAAGTATGTATAAAGTATAAGTAAGTGTATAAGTAAGCGTCCTTATTGAATCTGAACACACAGATGACGCCAGTGAGAAACCGAAAATTATTATCATTAAAAAAAATATGAATAAAGAATACCTACGTTAGATGTCCAACAATGAAACAGTCCTACACATTAAATCATTGTGAAATATCTGAAAAGCTGTGTTGTCAGATCATGCATTATATAGCATAAGGCCGCCCTCCAGAACCCCCCGCCATACCCCAGTTTGCGTCAGCGCTGCGTGAGAAAAGATCTGTCTGCGGTGCATTTTTAAGTTTTTCAACAAAAATGTAAGTATTTTTAGCGTTCTTTACAATTTTTTATTTAAATTATTGACGGTAGCTTTATGTTTTACATGATTACCTGGGATCAAACATATTTTGTAGATTAATGTGGAATACATCTTATGTTAAAGTATCACATTTATGTACATGCATTATACGTTATTGGACATCATGAATTTATTTCCAATTTTTTATTTTTTTTTTGCTACTGGTAGTACACATTAATTCAATAAACTATAAATGCCATTCGATACACAATAAATTACTTGAATGCCTGTAATAAAAAAAACTCTATACAAACAAAAGGTCTATGAGACTGAATTTTTAGTGTTCCATTGTTAGACAAATGACACTACCATATTCTTGTAATATTAGAATAATCTATATTGCCATTAGAGAAAGCAACGGAAACACAACGACACTGCATAAAACTGTAAAGGTCTGTCATGGTACAATAATCTATACATACATTGATAACTGGTCAATGAAATAAAACAAGATATTCAACACTTTTGGCAGGCGATCTCTACTTTTAGCAATTCAAGAAACGACTACTTAGTCATTTCATCTTTGACAACAAAACTTTAATAGTGATTGTGTAGATAAAAAAAAATATAAATGAAAATGATTTCAATTTGAAATATTGATTTTACTGGTACTGTGTAATATCATTGAATTGTACTAAATTTATGAAATAAAACATAAATGAATATAATAAAACCTATTCATTCTACTGGGGCATTCACAGTACGCCGACAGTAAGCATTTTCTTACAAAGTCAATGGTGATTTTTTCAGTTTTTGTCATTGGAACATTGGCATTTTAGTATTGTAAAGCTGTCACGTTTCCAATTTCTTAAGTTAAAAAAAGTACCGCAGTGATATTTTATAACATTGAAAGTTTTTGATGCTGAAACTGTTTCTAATTTATTTATTGTGATTCTCTTTTCCTCTTGGGTAAACGTCTAATGGTTGAAAAATTGGTGGGCCAATACATATTAAGAAACTACCAAAGACCTTGGCGTTGTGTAAACAGAATACCTCTACCTACTGATTCATATTTTACTATTGAAAACATATAATGAAATATACGTTTAAAAAAGGCCGAAAGATAGGACGCATTCGATAAAAACTTCGCATCACTAGCTGTGAAATACATTAGGAGCGCCTTTTGTTGAGTAGAACCTAATGTTGTTTTAAAAATAGAAATGATCTGGAATTAAAAAAAAATGCTAAATTATTGAGTCGGTACTTATCTATGGGTCTTCTGATTTCAAAACTAGACATATCTTTTTCTTATATAGAATGAAGACTATTAATAAACATACTCATATTAAAAAATATCAATATAATATCAATAAATTTCACGAAAACACATAATAAATGTTCATATTCATCACATAATTACTTGGATGGGAATTTAACCTCTGGCGTAGTGACCTATAATATCGCTAACGACTAACAGGAAGATTTCTTTCAAAAAACCGTTGATGGTTTATTTTGTACACATTTTGAATAAGTAGTACCACAAGTAGTTGTGGTGAGGTGTGGTGAGCCTTGAATCATACAATAAAAGAGTGGTTTTTGTTGATAGCGGCCATGTAATACATTCCAAACAATTCTTTAATCGGTCCCATCACCACAAATATTCCCATAACTATGGCAAATTGCACTTTGCATTGGTGTAGTTAAAGAACAAAACAGACTGCTGTCCTTCGCGTCGTTCTTGCTAGGTTGTAGCGAATGAACATGGGTAAATATTTGGATAAAGACGAAATTGTATGTCTTTAACATTTTTTTAAAATAATGTTAAAATATAAATCATAACTCGATAAAGTTAGACAATGTAATGTATGTAAAGATGTGCGACACCTATCACGAATAATTAAATTACCTACCTAAGTTATTAATATAAATAAGTACTTAATTATTAATTACTATATTTTAAAATTTATATAAAGAGGAATGCCAACTTTAAACTGCAATTTTAATCCCAACGTAAAAAACGTTATAAAACGTTGTATCACTAGGTAGGTATACTTATTAGTCTGTGTATGTATGTCTTTTGAATTAGCTAAAAGCTTCTAAACGGATAGATATATTCTGTCTTTTCTAATCATCAAAGGGATTTTTAATCAGGATTTTTTTTATTTCATCTTGTAACTTATTATATCGATGCCACGAGAGTGCTTTAGCTTAATATTTCACAATTCCTTTTATTAACGATTTTATTCCTTCGCTTTAATTTTGATGTTTTTTTCATAGACTAGTATTTTTGCATTAATTAAAAGCCTAATTTATAAAAGTATAAAACTATAAAATTATAGCAGTTCCGAAAATTTGGTTAGGTAGAAATTCTTTGACATGGAAAGTTTGTAAAGATGGATGAATGGATCATGTTTATAATTTTTAATCTGTGTTATCAATGGAAATCAATCATCATATCCATTATAATCGAAAAAATAGTATGCTTTTGAGGTGAAGTAACAATAATAATACTTTCGGACATTGACACACAACGCCATCTAGTTTTAAACTAAGCAGAGCTTGTAATATGAAAGCTAGATTGACTGATAGAATACTTACATACTTTTCTTTTTACACGCTTTATATTAGCTTCACTTGTATGTTTGTATGTTTGTTTGTAACCGACTCCTTTGGGCGTGATTTTGACTGACTTTAAACGGTCAGAATTCGTTCAAACGTTGTAGATATGTCGAGGACCGATGACAATACACTAATTTAAAAAAATAAAATAAAAAAAGAAATGGTTTTAAAAAACTAAAAAACACGCTTTTTATAGAAAACCAAACTAAAATTTACAACATAAATTTTAATAAATTTGACACCCAAACTCCGAAACAAATATTTGCAGATCATACAAACATTTGGTCCGACCCGGGAATCGCATACTTTACCATTGCACCACCGAGGCAGTCTTCACCTTGAGAGCATACTATTTTTCTTTTCATTTGTCATTGCGATAATTTTAGAGAATTATAAGCAGTTAGCAGTTCTTTAATATTGTATCACACATACGACTACCTACTACAATTTTCTTCTGATTAATTTCGTTGCGATTTCCAAGACAGTTTAATTTTTTCCTGGAACTTCCCGAGTCTCATAACTCGATGTGTTCGTGGGTCACTGTTGTTTATCCCTTTATATCGTTGAATAATACAAAACCATTATTAGCTAAAACATAGCATTTAACTGACTTGAGTATAGGGCCAAAAAGCTTTAATTTGCTGGCGGCTTCCAACAATACCGACATCAACGTCAGTCCTACGTTTTAGGTACATATTAGATAAGAGGAGATAATGTCTTCTGTCACTACTTGTAAAATTGCAGTGAGAGCGGCCTACAAAAATTAAAATATCATTAGCCAGAAACGTTTTCGCAATTGCTTGAACGCTTGGAACTGTCAAGACATTACAATACTGCAATGGACATTTTAAATTTATGCCTTTGTCTAAGAAAATTGTTTGTTTCAAGAAAAGAAGCAATTAAAGTTACTTTTATGTAACTTTACAGATACGTTTGTACAGATGGTTTATAATGTCTAAATTTTTGGCACTATGGCACTGTACCATTACTATGCTGCCTAAATATATTAAAAAATCCACTCACATGTAAAAATCGACCATAATCACAATCATTTGTATTGTGATCAATATTAATATTTTTTATTAATATATTAATCTATTTAATAGTTATTGAATAAATGTTACTAATGTTATTACTTATATTTGACCTTATAGTTTTAAATCAAGAGATTGTTATTGTTAAACAGACAAGAGAAAAAAGTGGTGTCCGTACTTTTGTACTTTAATTTTACTACAACAGATTAATAGTCCTTCAGTACTCGTAGTATACATATAAAAAAATTGATTGATACATTTAAAATTACATTTTATTGGGTATATGGATATTATTGGATCAACGCTGTACGAAAAAACCTGATTCCAATTTGGCAAATATCAGGAAACAAAATACCCAAAATGGAAACAGATGTAAGTAGTAGTAGTAGTAGATATAGACGAGTCGCAATAAAAATAAGATACATGTGTAAAACTAGTTTTAAGTATTATTGTTACGAGTAATCAGGGTCTGTTACTAGCCTGATTTAAAGTGTTCATATTGTTAAATATATTTGAAAACTCATTTTTAATAGTTATGTCTACTCAAAACACCTTTTGTGGCACAATACAAATGTCGATAGGCCAATAATAACGATAGTTCAAGTTTATTCTTCTTTCCTTCAAACAACTTTAGAGTAAAATCAGAACGTATTTCTAAGAAGTTCTAATTACCTCGTGAAGTTTATTGACATTTCTGTTGAATTTGTGCCTCACTTCGATTAAGCACACGGCAAATGTTACGCAAAAGAAGAAAATGTTTTTATAATAAAAGCAAAATTGGTCAAGTGAACGGAACATAGGTCCCTAATATGGTTTTAACTAGGACGAAATATTATGCAACTTTGCGTGTTAAGTACAGATAGCATCATAACTATAGCGTTTGCATAATGCTATATGCACATTACTCCCAACACCTATTGATTCATAACAAATTGACAAGTTATTGCCAGAAATTCTACACAACGATTGCTGTCTTCGTAAAATAGCAATTATAATTACGATAACCGAAGATAAAATAATTAAAAATCTAAAAGTCAGTGAATGTGTTCCTTACGAGGTAATACATAATAATATAATAAAGTAACCGTCCTTCAACAAAATCTACGTAAATTATCAAAATCTCGAATGGTGTCGCCAACAGAAAAACAGATATTATGGAGAAATTGCAATAGTTGAATGCAACCTACCTGCATGTTTTAATGATGTAGATATATGCGGCTCGAAGACTTGAAACACTTTTACTTTTCGTACACAAGCTGTTTAGTTACAATTGACCCGGATCTATGTGTTATGATTTCTACAGTATTTTATGATATTTTCTCGTAGCCAGTAAAGTGTTTAAAAGCGTGCGTCTGGTTGGAGAATGCTGGGGCGAGCCGTGGTGCCGTAACCTCTTACTTAACTCGCCAATCCCCTCTTTTCGACTTGGCCGTACTAAGCAAGATGCACCGTGATTGTGCGTCAACGTTACGTCAGCGTACTTGAGTGTAAATAAAAATACTGATTGTTGTATTCCTACATTATATATTTAGGCTTCGACACACAAAATAAGGCAGGAAGCGGAACATGGCGTGGTACATTTTAGCGTAAACGCCTCAGCTAATAACATAGCTAAATACATTGGAACTTGACTCATAACCAACGTATAGTCAAAAATACAACTTTCGCATGTAACAGCATGTTGTTACAGTCTTAGTACATAGAAATAAAACTGACCAGAATTCACAAAAGAAATCAATAATAGGTGTTAAACCCATTGAGTCAAACTCATAAAGGCCACAGTAGAGAGATGACCTGAATCGACGAAAACTTTGCTTTGTACTCTCTTCTGACTACTTCTAGGTAATAATTACTTTACAAATAGAGAAACTCCGACGTTCTACTTGCCTGATCAAGGCTATATTTATATAAATTTGTTTATCCAATACAAATATTTTGCGCAGATAATTACAACAATATCGAAATTGGGTTAATTAGGTAAATAAATACAACTTATAACATTAGTTATGACTAATTCCTTGTACGTTGGTTTTCGAATTGATTAGCCGTTGACAAACGCTTGCATAACACAATTTTAATACATAGTACAATTTAAAGTAGAAGATATAAGTTTTAAACAAAAAGTAGTAAGATGAAAAAACATATTAAAAATAAAAAAGTCTTATCGAAAAATTAACATTTTTTTTCTTATACAAGCCTAAGTATATCAGCATGATTTCGATTTCAGCCATATTGACGTACAATTTTAGCCCACTCCCAGGGGTAGTTTCTTTGAACAAATGCAAGAGTCTGGCGTATTTGGCGGGTCTCTTGAGGTGAACACTGAGGGCAAGCTCCTCGGAGTACCAGCGGCGCCAAAACTGAAAACAAAGAAAATCGTTACTTTGTGATTATATTTTTAAACAAAAAAAAAAAAGGTGTTCTCTAACAATCATATTAGATGTGTGGATAATTTAAGAAAAACGTGTAAAAAAACCAGGTGTATCTGATACTGCATCTGCCGTTTACAGTAGACTGGATCTCAACAGCAGATGCAAAGAAGAAACAGTAAGGCGAATTCTCTGAACTGTTTAATTAAAAAGAAGAAGACATGGAAGACGAAGGAAGAAGACAAGAAAATGGAAGGAAATTTGTTAGGGAAGCCTGCGTAGCGCTCGCCTTTTCCTCCTTTTCGACCCATTGCTTTAAAAAAAAAACATATTGATCAAATCAATCTTTCGAGACATTCAAACAACGAATACAACGAATGCTTAGACTATGGTCACCTAATTGGGGATCGCAATAATGTTTAATCTGCATGGGAATCGTATCATAACACTCGGCTAGACGACCACTCCAGTCATTGCGCCAATCATATTCTTGGAACATTTATCTTTTGTTTGGAATAATGTTCTTAAACAGTTCACCATCGTAAACTATGTTAGTGTTTGCAAATATCCTGTGCCTGTTTTAAGAATTACTCACGGGTTTTCCCATTTTAGCAATGAAGGAGGTCGGGGCTTGTATTGCAACTTAAATGATGATGAAAATTTTGTTACGCTTAGGAGAAAGCAAATTTAGCGATCTGTTATGGTTGGTTACCATTACTGAGATCGGGCACTTACAAAAAGCCACTTACTGACATAATCTATCTTTCTACCTGCTAATATAATAAAAATACATAAAACAGAACGAACATAGGTAGAAACATTCGCGTCTATATCCCCGAAGAGGAAGCGAGAATCGGAATAAACACAGTTTATATTTAGGATTTTTAATCCCATGGGCATTGGAAAATGAACGAAAAGGTCTAAGTCACATAGTTAACATGTAACCTTGAACTAAGGGCTAAGACCTCGAGGCAACAGCCAGACCTCGAGGTCTTAGCCTTTTAACCTAAATAAGTAATATCTATCGGATTATAACATATACGGTTACAACTACTTTAGGATGCACGCACTATCGACACGATGTCGCTTATGGCTTGTTTTTTCAACTGACATAAAAATAGAAGCAAATTCTCAATTTGTGTGTTATTTTATTTTTGTTGTTCCCTTGAACTCTGTTATTTATAAACCGTTTTGGAAGATTAAAAAAAAATCTAATGCCAAGAGAAAAAAATTCAACCCGTTAGAATGAAAATTAAGGGATGAAGCATACAGTTTATTACAATTACTTAATTCGGTCGCATTGAAATCTTAACATTTTAAATTAAAATTATTGTTTAGTTCTAGATTTGTTGAGGTTCCGTGCTCCTTTTAGGTAGGTATTCTTAATCCCTGAGAAGAACGTTCACGGGTTCTAACTCTATAATTCCTTGCAAAATTCTGGACAGTTAATAATATTAATTTCTTAGACAGTCCACGTGAGACTCAATCTTACTGTTGTAATTCAACTTACAAATTTAAATACCAAAGAAATGTTTTATTTTTGCAATTACTTGATTGACTTACTAAGCATTTAATTTTAATTAAATTTTGCGTATGTAACTACGACTGTAGTTAAATCTTATAAAAATGTTATCTTAAAAAAAATGTACGACTGTAGTTAAATCTTATAACATTAATCTTAAAAAAAACTTATCTATTTGTTATAAAATAAAAATGACTACCAAGAAATGCCACTAATAATAGAATGTGGTAATCCCATGGAATAGATTAAAATCTGCAAAAAAACAAGCATTTTGAATAAGAGATACTTAAACTTATTGCTGTTTCATACTCTTGAGACACTCATTCACTACTTACTACTCAATTTAACAATTCAATGAAGTGTCATGGTTCTCTTTACTTATGCAGTTTAAACATCATATATACAAAGACAAAAGACTTTTACATATTGTAGGTAAATCACTTGTTAAGTACCATTTTCTACAGTCATACACGGGCATTGTACATTTCAAAACCATACTGCATTCAATACTTTCGAGATCCACTTTCGCCATCCGAGGTCCACTAGTGGACATATGCCAGTACCACAGTAGAATAAAAACAAATGGGTTAACCCGATCGGAAATTACCGATTAGTCCGATTATTAGTATTAGTAATTTTTTTTGTATCATAAAGTTATACTCGAGACTTCACAGCGTACACCACTACATCTAGAATAAAACTTGATGTGATTTTTATTCTCGATTTAGTGGTGTAGGTAGTTATTTGATCGACGCTCACAGCAGAAAAGGTATTGCAAATGAAACAGGACGAGTTTTCTATGAATCTGTTTTCTATGACTTCTAGCGCATTTAGGAATGTGTATCGTATAATTAGTATAGCTGCCTACTTAAAGTTGTCGATACCAAATAGCCAATATCACCATTTATTACTTACACTAGATGATTCCATTATTTCATCTTCAAAAACAAAAAGCACTCTCGATTCGAAATTGATATTTTGACCTTGATTTTGCGTTCCTCCGAACAACTACTTTTTGCTTTAAAATAAAGTTAATGTTTTAAGTTAAAACTAACCTTATTAGTATTCTATTTTGTTGTCATGAATATTACGAGAGAGCCTGTTTTTTTTTATAACATGTCCTTCTTACTAGTTCCATTATTGGCTAAGTATATTTGCCGTGCCGCCAATCATTTGCATTAAATGGATAAATTTAATTTAGAATGTTTACAACTGTGACTTTGTAACCCAAATGAATAACTATAATATAAATGGGGTCTTTCAATTACAACGACATAAACGCATCCAGATCTGTACTTTTATCTCTCTAGCTAGCAGGAAACAATGTGTTTAAGATTTATCATTTAGCATTTTTGCTCTGGTAAATTGGTAAGGATGAAGCACGTCTGACAACTGCCAACTGTTGCTTTGTTATAATTGTTACTCATGCACGTCCTACTTGTACAGGCCCTCATTCATTCCATATTATAACACTGAAACACACAATTGAAAAGCTCATTTCAATTTCGAACAATAATAGTAACCGTCAAAGTTGTAATATTTACTAGCTTATATTCTTCTTTCAAGTCGTTTTTTTGTGTTATACGCTTAGATCTCTTAAACTATGCAATGGATTTTAATACGGTTTTCACCAATAGAGAGAGTGATTCAAGAGAAAGGTTTATATGTATAATACATGCATATTATATTAGAGAAAATACGAGAATTTCAAAGATTTTTGTAAAAGACATGTTTTTGTGCGCTTACATTTCAAACGCTGGCTAAACCTTACGAGATAGACCAAAAAAATGTACCTACTATAAAACTGTATATCTTAAAAAGATCTAAAAACAGTTCGCGGTGGTATATGTCTATCTCCTATTGATAACTGCCTGATTTGACTGCCTCGTTGGTGCAGTAGGTAGCGTATGCGACTGCTCTGCTGAAATCTCGGGTTCGATTCCCGGGTCGGACCTAATGTTTGTATGATCTGCAAATATTTGTTCCGGAGTTTGGGTGTTTTCTATGTATAATATGTATGTATTTAAAAAAAAAGTATATAAGATTCTATCAGTCAATCTAGCTTTCATAGTACAAGCTCTGCTTAGTTTGAAACTAGATGGCGTTGTGTGTTAGATGCCCGAAATATTTTTATTATAACCCACAGTAACCATTTTTATCTTTTAAATATTAAAAAAAGGGGTATTTACAAAGCTATTTTAAACAATACATTATTATTCCTTATTCAATGAAATACGTTATTTAATTGTTTATTTAATGTAGATTATAATTGCTCTTTACAGCAAATCATTAAAATGAATATTTTAGAAAATATTAGAGGTTCAAAATGCGGGGGCCTAACGACCGTGGAGCCGTAGCCGGCAGGATCGGAGCGGGCCTATAAATATTGCATGGAAAGATGTCCTGTAGTATAGCCCTATCATAGTAATAGTATAAATAATTACTCCACACTGACACTACATTAGCAGTAATAGTAGTATCTACATTGCACACGTGCGAAGCCGGGGCGGATCGCTAGTTGAAAATAAATTAAACCTTTTACAACTATAAGTTCCATAACATTTACAGTACTTGACAAGAAATCGCTGTGCGAGAGTTCACACAAATACTCACAAAACCGGACCAAGATTCCAAAGGACAACAGTTCACGTAAATAAAATACTAATTCTCTCAAATAATACTAGGTACACAGTAGTACATGCGTTTTAAAAGCCAACGTCACAGTCATAGGTATTGTAACACAATAAAGTATTTGTGTATGACACAGCGCCACCGCACCGAATTAATTGGCATGTATAACTTTCTATACAACTTCTGAACTTAAGTGTAGTTTATTTATATTTTTAATTATGTACTCAACCAGGAAATACTTGGATTCAAAGACATCAACTTTCATGACAATTTTAATGATACATGCATATATATTACTTTTTTAAACAATTGGGTAGATGCCTAGGTTTAAACTAAATTATTTCGCCAGCATTATTAAATGTAACATCAACCTGAAATGTTCTTTATTATCAATTTAATGTTTAACATTAAATATATATGATTTGACAATAGCCAGGTATAACATCAAGTAGTATTTCCATTGAAATCGTAATAATACGATTTCTGTAAGTAAGTATTTCATACAAAAATTAAGGGGTCTAATTTAACGTTTATTAAAAAAATCCTGATTTGACTTGACAGTCATCTACCCTATTGTATTGTCAAAAGGTTAAACTTAGTTAAAAGACCATGGACGTATAAAAAGTCGGACGGAACTCCCGCTGAGACAAAACTGAGGCAACGTAATGGCGACCGCTCTTTGTGTGCGAATGACTTTTGGGGTTTCCAAGTTTTCCAAATTTATGCCCTAAAAAGACAGACAATAAATAAAAATATTTTATTTGTTCGAAATTTTACTGTTTAATGTCCCAAATGCTGTCTTTTTTTATAATAATGTCTTTTACTTTGAGAGGTTCTT